CTATCTCAATTACATGATTGTATCTATAATTTTTAAGTGTAGGGACCTTTCATGATATTGCTATGAGCCTCATTTGTGGAATAAAGCTTTTCTGGATGATGTCTTTACAGTCCTTTCTGTTATGCATACTAAATGGCTTGTTTTCAAAGATATTTCCTGAGCGGAATAATATATCTTTGCTTTAGTAGTTCTAATAGTCTTAGTAATTTTTCACTAGTACTTTGCCCTACTGTGGGCTGCTCTTTAACTGTTGGAGCAGCCTGATGTTCTACTTTGAGTTCACATTTGCTAATATTTTTACATTTTCCAATTTAGTGATATATTTTGTGTTACATTTTATAACTAAACCATCATTTTACAAGGTCATTCATGCAGAGAAATAGCACAATATATTTCCTGAAGGATCATGACTAAATTTTTATTAGTAACACTTTGCTCCTCATCTAAAACTTAATTCTGAATGTTGAGTTTAGGCAAGGAATCATTATAGATCAGTTAAGAGAGATATAATTACTATTTTATCAAGTTAGATTCTTTTAATCTTAACGAAATGAAACTATTCTCCATCTATATTTCTCTCTCAGGCATTCCTTTCCTTTGCAATTAGAGAGACAAATTTACATGAATGGGACGTCAACTGTTGTAAACAGATTACCTATGCTTAGTACTTAAGGGAAGGGTAAAAAAGGACAAAAGCAGCTAGGATTGTTGCCAGTATGCCCCTAGAGAAATTCCTTTCTGATGCCAGATTTGGTGACTACTTCATGGCTGCCATGAAAAAGAACCACTAAAGTTAACCATTCATAACAAGTTTTGTGTTCTAATACCATTTTTTTACATACTTAGTTCCATTTAAGGATCCACTATGCAGTAGAAACAGTCACTTTCCCCCATATTTTATGGTCTTTCAAAAATGGTACAGCAAGGTTTTTATTTTGAAATTTGAGTGCCAAGCTTATATCCATATTTACTTTATTTCTTTAGGTATCTGAAGTTCTAATTGAATCATGTTCTGTTTTAAAGCTAAGGAGAGTCCAAATGCCCCGCACCTTCAAATTTCAGAGTTTAGATTAATCAATTGCACATATTACATTTCTGGCCTTGAAGTGAAAGCTGTAGGAATGCCTATGTTTCAAAGGAGGTGGGATGCATCATGCTTTGCACTATTTCCATTGATCTTTCATTGTGGGACTTATGGGTGGAGTGATATCTTGCACATACTTGTGTCTATAATTGTGTCATATCCAGTAGACTGTCTTTGCTTAATTGATAACCTTTTTCTCATTGTTGGTTTTCTTAGCCTTAGCTGCCATGGTGTGGTTGCCATACAATTACAAAACGTTTGCCTTTAATTCATATACTTAAGGTAACATCTCTTGCATAGAATAAGCTGTTAATATATGACAGTGTATTTGAATGATTTATGATATTGGAGGCACTAAATTAATAGTACTTCTAAGTTCGCATCACAAGACAGTAATGCCTAAGTTATGGATGACAATTTGAAGAAATTGCTGTCATGGCCCTGGAGTTTCTCAATTGCTGCTAAATACATTTCCCTGGTGAATGAGGCCAGGCTGCCATTGTGTAAAGATGGGTTCTGTCCATTTTTTTTGAGGATCATTTCCTTCTTCCTTCATTATAAAACAGTAGAAGATTATTGGTATGTGTCATAATGGTATTTGAAATTGAGGGTATATGAGGCTGGAGTATGACAGTAAGTGGGAGCTGTTTTCAAAGATTATATTCTTTCCTGTATTTAAACTACATTTATTTGGTTTGAGGAATAATGGTGAAATTAATTAACTTTAGTCTATAAGTATAGCTTGAGGTGTTAGGGTTTAGGGGGTTATTTTTAATGCCATAAAGTTTGGGTTTCCATTTAATTCAGTTGGATAGAAAATACTTCTGCAGTAGGAGCCAAATTTCTTCAAGTACCCACATAAAAACAATTTTTCGAGTTTTTATTCCCTGTTGAACCAATTTACTTATAAACGTTCTAAAATGTTCTAAAAATTGTTCTGTATTGGAGCTGGTATAAAACTTACTGTGGCCCTAACTGTAGAGTCGTGACTTCCAACATTAAGGTCAGAGTTTTACTGTGAGCCCAAAGTGGTACTTGGCATTATTTTTTCCCTTTTTTAATACTTCAATAACATTAAGTTTCTATTTAATTTTCTGATACCACCTCTAGTAAATATCAGAGCTCAAGAGAAGTAATAGATCTATAGAGAGGAATTACTAAATCTTCACTAATTTCTGCATTCCAGCAATCTGGAAATTTCCAGTTTTCTTTCTTGAATGTATACTGGAAAAATAACTGAAAAATTGGAAAACTAATCTAAAGTGAGAGATGCAAGAATCTCCGTCTGCTCGAGCCTGTCATGCATGACAAAGGAGGAGGACCTCCTTCGTGATTTAAGAGACCTACATAGACTAAAACTTGATAGTGAAGACCCTTCTATCATTCAAACAAAAGGTAACTGAATATTATAATTGGAGATGGACAAATTTAACTAGCAAACTAGAAATAAGCTTAAAATTTTGAGTCATGGTAGCCAGGTAGTAGATCAGCTAACCAGCAGTGCTAGATTATCAAATTGGACATTCTAAATTTTTTAGTATGCTGTTTTTTGTAAAAACTCAGCCATCACTTTTGGACTTGAAAGTAAAATTAACTCAGGAAATCATAGAGTATGAAGGAATTAAGACTAGGCAATCAAAATGTGTTCTTCTGTCCATTTATAGTAGGTTTTTTACTTTCTACATTGCCTAGCTGTAAATGCTGGCAACTACTTAAAATTGTGGAGAATCGTATCATTATTCATAGAAAAGTGGATTTGTACTATTTGTGCTAGTATTAGCAGTGTTTTTACCTTCAGTTGACTGCGAGCAAATGAATGATTTGGGGGATATTAGGGAAGTTAATGAGTGAGATTCATTTGCAGGTGCTTTATACTTTCCCCTAGTTTTATAGACTAATAGTCCATGCCTTGCTATGGTGATTAGGTTATAGGGTACTATAAGTGCATAGAGGGGCATCTAATGGACATACGACAGATACCTAAATGCTCTCTTAGGGGATTGTAGTCTCAGGCTATGATACTGTAAATTACACCTTTCAAGCAAATTTCTCTTCTTCTATGAAACCCTTTAGTCAAATTGCAAAGTGTCCACAAAGATGCAGCAGTTTTTAAAACAAACTGAAAAAGGCATAACCCAGAACAACGGGCTCATGCAAAATGTCAGAAGTGCTGTGTTAGTTCTTTTTTTCATTGTGCTAAACACTGAAAATGTGGGAAGAGAGGAGAAGTAGTTTTTCATTACTTGACACACAGATTGGAGCATGTAGTTTATGATAGCTTAGAATACAGTCTCAAAATGTAAATGCCTGTTTCCTCTCAGCTGAATACAAGTGTGTCTTTTAACCCTTGGAGCAGAGGTATGCAGCGAAAGAGGAGAAATTTAAGGAATTACACACTTTTTGTCCCTGGATTACACCACTACTCCTAATGCACATTCAAATTTTAGTGTGCAAAAGGGCAATGATTCCCTCTTGCGTTGAACAGTGTGTCTAAAACAAAGCAATATGGTTTGATTTTAAAGAAGTTTATAAAAACAGTATTGGCTTTATTCGCTCCTATGGCACTTAGAAAAACTAAAACCCAACCAAAAAAAACACAAAAACAACCCCCCCCTCCCCCCAAAAAAATTCAAACAAAAGAACAACAAAACATCATGATCTACTGTATGTAACTACTGTGCATTAGTGTAGTGGATCTCTGGTGTTCTGCACTGTACCATATCTTATTTTGTTGTGGTTTTTAGATTTCTTTGATATTACTTCCTCATTCCATGTCATCCTGAATAGCAGTGGACTTGCAGCCTTAAGAATGAAATTGTTTCCACTGGGTCCTGTGCTGTGGCATACCAACATAGTTACTTCAGGAATGAATGTAATGTGATGACCTGTGCTCTGGGTATCCATTTTGTATTCTTAGTTTGCAAAAGAATGATTGAATATGAGAATTCTAGTTTCTTGGAAGAACCAGCTGCATTTTTATTCTTTTTTTCATCCTGTCATAAAGACTGCATAGTTTAAGCATATTCTTTTAATTTTATTCTTGGGGCCACCCTGTGCAGGGCCAGAAGTTGAACTTTGATGATCTTAGTGGGTCCCTTCCAACTCAGAATATTCTGTGATTCTGCAAAATCTTTTGTAGTGTACAAGGCACGTTCTTAATGAGCAAATGAACAGTACTTTCAGATGTCTTCATGTTTGTGTCAAAGTCCACCCTGATGAAGAGACAGCTGATTTAGACAAAAATCTTTCCATTTGAAAATTGTTGCTAAAGACCCTGATGTATTTATGCCTGCCCTGCTCTGTAGTATCAGGGAGCAGTTTCTAAAGTGATGGTACATAAGAAATGTCAGTGCAAATTAGCTTTTGCTTCAAGCTCCATAAACAAAAAATGTAAGACAAATTTTCTAGTGTAACCAAATTACTGAAGTAGGAGCAGCAAAAATATCTTATTGCTATTAGCCTGCACAAACCCAGTGTTTACTGAATCTCCACATCTGCTGGATTTCAAGTGTGGAAGTATATGTTTACAAAATACATGTCTTACTAATGCACTTATTTGGTTCCTGTAATGTGAAGCTGGAAGATACATAGTTTTTGTACAAAAATTAGAAGAAAAACTTGGGTAATTTCCTGATGTAACTTTATGTGAATTTTTGTTTGCCTTTGTCTGATGTACCATACATTGTGAACTATGTCTTTCCTAATACAAAAGACCCATTTAATGCCTTTTAATTGAGAATGTTGGCTTGATACAGTCTTTAAACTGTTTTGGATGGGCCACACCTGGTGTTAGGCATAGCTAGGAAACAAGCAGTGTAGCCTTATGGGAGAAAATGTGTTAAAGAAGTTTGCAATTAGTCATTGGCTGCTGCATTTTTAATAGAAAACCTAATTTAGCAATTTTCTTTAAAATCAGGTGCTCTGTGGATGTGTATAGTCTTAAATCCCCACTGCAAGTTGGAGCAGAAGGTCAGTTGGCTAAAACAGCTGAAAAAATGGAATAGTGTGGATGTTTGTCCCTGGGAAGATGGAAACCATGGAAATGAGCTGCCCAATTTAACCAATGCTTTGCCTCAGGGTGCAAATGCTAACCAAGGTGAGCCTAAATACATGCACTAACTGAAACATATAATATAGCCTCTATCTTATATACTTGAGCCTTGCAGCAGAATACAGCAGTCTTTCCTGGGACAAGTAACTTTCTTGTTGAGGATTGGCCAGCCAAATTTATTCTCACTAATACTATCCTTGCAGAAAGGATAAATAAGGTCTACTTTTGTGCTGGAGCTGCAATGTTTTCAAAGCAAGTTAGGTTTTCTAACTTTTCACTTGGTCCTTCTAAATACTTGTTGCATAAAAATTGGATGTCCCTGAAGCATGTCATGTAAAAGCCTATTGTTTCTTTGTTTTACTATAATCTTATATAACTTCTGGTTTTGGTTTTTTTTTTGTGGTTTTGTTTTTTGTTTTTTGGATTTTTTTTTTTTTTGCAGTTACAAAGCCTTTGGTACTTACTTAAAGGGAGATCAGTTGGGACTGCATTAAACTGTGTGATAAACTAAAGCACTTATCTGCGGGATGTGCTCTGTGTTGTGTGGTGTGCACTAACAGGCATGTAGGGGTGCAGAGTTAATACTGCCTTCTTGGAGGAGGTGTCTCTTACTCGATATACGCTTTCTAATCAAAAACGTGATTATCAAACCTGACAGAAGCCTTCTTCAGTCATCTTCGAGCAAAGATTGCTACTTTGCTAATAACTGAGGAAGACACAGGATATTTACCAGGGAAAAAAACCCTCATAATCATCAAACCCCTCAACGTTTTGATACATATTTCATAAAAGTTAAAATTAAATGCTTGTGAAAGGTGATAGATGGGTTTTTCCTTGTTTCTTTTTCTTGGAAGTTTACCTCCAAAGGAAATAGTTCATTTTTAAATCTTGCAGCTAGCTGGGGACAGAAGTTCATTCAATATATAACTCCCTACAGAGGTGTTTGGCTTTCTGGATCTCGTGATGTTCAGCCCAACCTTTGCAGGCTAGTGGCAACCCTGACATGACATTTCAACATTCATTGACACAGTGCCATGTAGACAGAGCACTTTTGCCATAGGAAGATATCCAGTAAGGGATTGTCAGTCCTATGGCCTCAGTACCTTGCTTTCTTTGCAGTATTTGTATATGTTTATGACGAAAAAAATATCCAAGTGCTTAAAGTTAATGTCACTTCTCAAAGAGAATAACTAAAAATATTTCATGTGATGTTTATCTGTCACTCATCCTAGTAGCTCTGAGAAGGAGAGAAGCTGGGGATGCTTGAGTAGCTGTATGCCATATACTTTCTAGTTTGTTTTTAGGGGAGTTCTGTACGTACTGTTTAATGTCCTTCATTTTTAGCTGTTCCCTTTGCAACGTCCTATTTAGCATTAACCATGATAGTTCGTAGATCTCTCTGAATGCAAAGTGAATGGCACACACTTTGCCTGAGCTGTTGGGTAACAGGATGTGAAATATCATCTATAGTCTGCTTCTTGCAGAGTAGGTCAAGGTCAGTTAGGGGCTGGTGAAGAGGCAGAAAGCAAGAATACTGTGAATGACTGATTCACATATGAATGAGTAAAAGCTGATGCAGCTTTCTGAACTTGTGAAAATGACAGATTCATCAAACAGACCACATCGGACGGTGTTCACTCGAGCCATAGAGGCATGCGATCTGCACTGGCAGGACAGCCACTTGCAGCACATTATCAGCAGTGACCTATACACCAACTACTGTTACCATGACAACACCGAAAACTCACTCTATGACTCTCAGGGGTGGCCCCTCTGGCATGGTAAGTGGCTAAACCAGAAAGACAGAAAGACGTTTCCATGGCTTGCTGCTTTGTTCAGTTTCTATGGCATTATTTTTGGGGGGTGGCGGGGAGCTGAATGAAAAGCCTGGAAAAAAGAACAGAGGCTCCCTTGAATTGTTGGCTCAGAAACAGTCCTTTAAATTTCTCTTGCATAGTTTTAAAAACAAATCAAAGGAAACTAAAAAGCCCTTTTGAGTAACCTAGCAAAACAGGCCATTGCAGACATGGAAGCATTGCTATTCCTCAATTATTTTCTCCATTTTAGAACATGTTCCTACAGCCTGTGCGAGGGTGGATGCATTACGATCTCATGGATACCCACGAGAAGCACTGAGGCTAGCAATAGCTATTGTTAATACACTAAGAAGGCAGCAGCAGAAACAGCTGGAAATGTTCCAGGCTCAGAAGAAAGGTAAATGCGGGGAAGAGAGAAGGGCAAAGGACATGACAAGGTGACAATAACACCAGACTGGAACTTTGGATGAAAAACTGCTTTTGAAACTAAAGGAAAAGAGGTGACTTTAACTCTTCAGTCCAAATGATCATAGTGGTAATGTCACATTCTGGATGTCGGAGGTTTATTTTATGCTGGGTTGTGAACTCTGCAGGGCAAGGGCTCTGTTCTGCCTTCTGCAATACATCTAAGGTGATGGGGCCTTTATTCCAATCAGAGTTTTTTGTTACACAGTGTAAATATTCATCCTGTGTAATTTATAGGCTTTTAAACAGAGATTTGCATTTGGAATGACACGTATTTAAAATATTTTTTTCCTCTGATGTATAATTTAGCAGAGCTATTTCTGAGGTGGAAGCCAAAAGTTGACTAGGCAAAGTCTGCACTACAGAAATTCTTCAAATTTGTCAGTTTCTCCCAGAAGTCTCTTATGATGCTTAAAACTTTAGTGGATTCACATCACTGGAAATAAGATTTTTGAAACACTGGCTTTATAAAATCTTCTGTGGTGTTCCTCTAAACACTACCCCTACTTTTTGAAGGAAGATTCTAGCAAAAATAATCCTTCACTGAACTTTGTCATAGGTTTGAAGTAGTAGTAGAAGAAGAAAGGGATGACTTTGTAGTTAAAGAATGCATGTGGAAAAATTGGAATTACATTCTCAGTTACTACAAGAACATGTTTCATTCAAATTTTTTTTGAGATCTTTATTGCTACTCTTAACTATTTGTATCCTCATGCATTGTAGGCAAAAATACTAGTGTGTAGTCACATCTGTAAATTTTTAAGTGTATGTGCAGGTGTTTTCCCAGAAATGATCATTTAGAAATTGAAGTGAAGACAAGGTAGACTCCTGACTGAAAAAAAATAATTAGTTGGCAGTTCCTATGTGTGTCCATTTCACAAGAAATTTTGAGCACTATTGTGGATCCTAGATTTAAACAAAACTTAAAATCACTTTGCATTATTACTTGAGAGATTTTTTCTGAGTCTTTTTATTGGGTAATATATCTTTCTTTAACATGAAGTTTGAAATTTCTATGTTGCTACTCACTGCTTTGGGGTTTTTTTTTCACTTTTACATTTGGAATTTAAAGAATCTTCTTTTAATAGTGCAAAATATGCTGGTCTTCTCCATAAGATTAATTCTGTAGCTACAGTTTCAGTTCAGCAACCATCACATACTTCTACTTAGCTTTCATGCGACTGATCTGACATTCGTGGAACTAGTTACATGATGTTAAATCTCTATATGAATGGAGGACTGAAGCCTTTGTTTGGCATGACACAAGTGAGGCTCATAAATAGACATAATAGATGAAACAGAATATAAGTGAGTCAGTAAAAAGTCAGTGATATTAATCCTTTTTGGTAATATGTGCTTCTACCTGTCGTTTTTAACACATGCTATTTGTTAGTAAGACAATTAGTTACTACTTTGTTTTTCATATTACATATCAGTTTATTTAAAAAAAAAAAAAGCCACTGTCCTGAACAATGAGTTCAACAGTGTGGTTGTGTTTCACTTTGTAGCTCTGCACATTTACATAGGCAAAAAACAAGCTTTTAAAGCTTTGTGATAATACTTATGATTACTCAGAAAGATGACACTTAGTGAATGAGAGAGCACAAAGGCAGGTACAAGTTAGTGTGTAATAGCAGAGAAACAGAGTATCTGTAATGGCTTGTATACAATTTTTAAATGGTCTCTTGGGAATTCGAAGAGGTTCCAGCTGACTGGAGGCTGGCAAACTTTGTCCTGATTTTCAAGAAGGGCAAGAAGGAGGACCCTGAAAACTACAGGTCTGTCAGTGCCTGGTGAAATTATGGAGAAGATTTTTCTGGGAGGTATAATAGTGAATGGGGTAACATCAGACTGGTGACCTGTCACTAGTGGGGTTCTACAGGGCTCCATCATAGGCCCTGTGCTCTTCAACACCTTCATAAATGACTTGGATGCAAAACTGGAGGGGATACTAAGCAAGTTTGCAGATGACACAAAACTCAGAGGAGTTGTTGACCCCCTTGAAGGCAGGGAGGCCCTGCAGAGAGACCTCAGCAAATTAGTAGACTGAGCAATCACCAACCACATGAAGTTCAAGAAGGGAAAGTGCCAGATTCTGCACCTGGGATGAGGCAACCCTGGATGTACAGACTGGAGAATGAGATGCTGGAAAGCAGTGTCACGGAAAGGGACCTGAGGGTCCTGGTCAATGGCAAGCTGAGTATGAGGCAGCAGTGCCCTGGCAGCCAGGAGGGCCAACTGTGTCCTGGGGTGCATCAGGCAAGGCATAGCCAGCCGGTCAAGGGAGGTGATTGTCCTGCTCTGGTCTGCACTGTTGCAGCCTCACCTGGAATATTGTGTGCAGTTTGGGGCACCACAATATAAGAAAGACATTAAGTTATTAGAGAGCTTCCAAAGGAGGGCAACAAAGATGGTGAAGGGCCTTGACGGGAAGCCGTATGAGGAGTGGCTGAGGTCACTTGGTCTGTTCAGCCTGGAGAAGGGGAGACAGGGGAAACCTCATCACAGTCTACAACTTCCTCATGAGGGGAAGAGGAAGAGCAGGCACTGATCTCTTCTGTCTAGTGACCAGTGACTGGACCCATGGGAATGGTCTGAAATTGTGTCAGGGGAGGTTTAGATTGGATATTAGAAAAAGGTTCTTTACCCAGAGGGTGGTTGGGCACTGGAACAGGCTCCCCAGGGAAGTGGTCACAGCACCAAGCCTGTCAGAGTTCAAGAATCATTTGGACGATACTGTCAGGCATATGGTATGACTCTTGGGGATGGTCCTGTGCAGGGCTAAGTGTTGGACTTGCTGATCCTTGTGGGTCCCTTCCAGTTCAGCATATTCTGTGATTCTGTGATAATGCACCTAATCTCTCATAGTTCAGTCATGTGTATGTGTCTGGGAGAAAAAGCTTGGGAGTTGAAGGGGAACTACTGCCATAAGACTCTTAGTTAATTTGAGTAATCTCTAACTTCTTTTAGGAGCCCCTGGTGGTCTAGTGGTAAAGGCGCGGCGCTATCACCGCCGAGACCCGGGTTCGATTCCCGGTCAGGGCCACTCCCGGGCAGGTGGAGCTCGTTAGCCCTTAAAGGCAACCCACCTACGTCCTAAGGACCTCGCTGCCACCGTCCAAGCTCGCTTGGCCCCGGCAGATGAACCTTAGGATTAAAGGGTGGGCTCAGTTCCGCGCACACTGTGTCTCACCTAAAAAAAAAATCCAATGTGCAGGCTGGAAGGTGTAAAGACCTTCCCCAGATCTTCGCTCGCGAAGACTGGCCATTATTATTAACTTCTTTTACCACAGCCACACTTCCTTCAATTTATTGTGCTAAACAATTTTTTCATGTTGTAACTGATTGATGGATGAGGGCTACAGAACAAAGTATCCATGAAGGTATTTGTTGACTGAAACTTTCGAATGACAAAAAATGCACTTAAAGGACAATTTTTTTCTTTTATAACTCCTTTAAACATTATACCCTTTTTTCATATAATTTTAATTAGGAACTGTCATCATGAGTTTATTACTTCAATAAATATTTAGATGCAATAAGTTCATATCATTTATTAAAATGATTTATTTATTTCAGTGCCATCAGCTTCACTTAAAATGTGAAAATGGTACTGCATCTTTTGAGTGAGGAAACAGTTATGATTATTTTGCAAAAAAAAAAAAGTCTTTGCTATAATTTTTTGGTAGACATTTTCAGAAGTTACTGGTATCAAGTAAGAGATTTCAAAAAATACTGCTGTTGAAATTTTGACCCATAATGTACTTTGCTAGTGTTCAAAATGTTTGACCTTTGTCCATTTTCTTTTTTTCCTCTTTTAACATATTTACAAAGGGCAATAAATTCACACTGAGATACTATTTTCTCCTTCTAAGCAGAAACTACTGGAAATACTTTGAATCCTATGCTGAGAGCATTTTAATCAGTTTTACTTCTATAATTGTTTTGAGGGGATAATATGCACTCTCTTTTCCTCCCTCCATCTTTTCTGTCACAGAACTTCTCCACAAAGGAGTAACCTCAATAACAAATCTTGAAGGTTGGGTGGGACATCCTTTGGATCCGATTGGCACCCTCTTCAGTAGCCTGATTGAAGCCTGCAGGGTAGATGATGAGAGCTTCCATGGATTCTCAGACTTCACGGGTAAGGCCATGCAAAGGGAGTAATCTTCTCTAAGTCTTCAGTAACCAGAGGCATTTTTCTATCTTACCTTTCCCAATTAACTTGGAAGCCAGTGTCTTTATAGTATAAGAACTCGCATTTGCATTCCCTAAGAAAACACAGGGGAGAGAGAATGTTTACAGTACATTTTTGTCATAAGTTATATGAAAGCCTTCAAAAATTACCAGTTACTCATTCTTGAAGACAATTCAACATTTTACGCTTGAAATAAAATGGAATAAGACTTTATAGCAGCAACCCTCTTTATATACATTGCTCTGTCTTCTTTTTGAGAAATTACAGGAAATCACAAAATTGTTGAGGTTGGAAGGCTCCTCTGGAGATAGTCTAGTCCACCTTCTCTGATCAGAGCAGAGTCACCTAGAGCAGGTTGCCCAGGACTGTGTCCAGTTGAGTTTTGAATAGTCCCAAGAATGAACACCACGCAACCTCTTATTGTGTTTGACCATCCTCACAGAAAAAAAGTGGTTTCTTATGCTCAGAAGTTTGTGCCCATTTCCTCTTGTCCCATCACAGGATACCACTGAGAAGAGTCTTGCTCTGTTTTCTTTACATTCTCCCAGCATATATTTATATATTTTGGTAAGATCCTACTGAGCCTTTTCTTTTCCTGGCTAAACAATCCCAGCCATCTCAGTCACTTATATGGGAGATGCTCCAGTCCTTTAATCATCTTTGTGGCCCCTCCCTGAATCTGCTCCAGTAGGTCCGTGGGGAGCCCAGTACTGAACATGGCACTCCAGGTGTGGGCTCACCAGTGCTGAGCAGAGGGGAAGGATCACCTCCCTCAATCTGTTGGCGATGCTCCTCCTATGCAGTCCAGGATGTTATTTGACTTCTTATCTACAACTGCTCATAATACTTCAAACTGATGACAAAACACTTAAAATTTATAACATACATGTTCTATAAAGTACATGGTCTATAAAAGTTATGAATTGGAAAATAGTGTTGTAGTATTGATACATGATTTAGGACAGGATGTATACGCCCATTTTAATTTCAGTATTTGCTTCACAAGGACCTTAACTGATTTATTCCTTATTCTCAGTCTCTTTCCACCTCTGCTGTAGTGTCTTATCACCTTCTGTGTGGTCAGAAACTTGATTCATTCCTCTACCTATAGATCCTTTATATGCACATCCCCAGTCTTCTTGGGGCTTTACCTCAAAACTCATTTTATTCAATTAGATTTTCTTCAATAAACTTCTAATCTCATATCCACCAATTCTGGAAGAATTCTTTGCAATTAGAAAAAAACCCAAAACAACCCCATGAAATAAAAGTAGTGTGTGTTGAAAAGCAAATTCCCCCTACGCACACATATGCAATCTACCAAATGCATTTTGCCATCTCATTTGCTGAAACTGTCCATCTCCTTATATCTGTACATTGCAACTTTTTGTTGCCAAACTGGACTGTAAGCTGCTAGAGGTTGATATAGCATTTTGTCATATGGTGTATTGGTGAAGTGCCAAATGAATCAGTAGTACTCTTTAAAGCAAATTATGGCTTGGTCTGTGTGGAATTTACAAGTAATCTTTACTAAAAGTAGCATTTCTAGTGTTAATAAAAGTCAGAATAATTATGCATGTTTATCATAAATACAACTGTAACAAATAAAAAAGCATGAAGAGAGCTCTAGCAAACAGAATGCTTTAAAGTTGTGGAGTTCCCAGGCCTACTGTATTTGCATTATCCTAATAGCTTCAACTGAAATCTATGCAGGTGTATAAGCACCTTCCCTTTCCATTTATACAACATCAAAGCTTTAAGGAAATGCAGAAATGGGTGGGGAAAAAAATTGAAATAGATCTTCCAATTTTGGCCTTATTAACACAAAGCTGGAGAAACTCCCTTTCTCCAAATCATGCATTTTAAAATGAAAACTTTTATTTTTACTCAAGTGGGCTTTTTAAAACCTAATTGTTTTGTGTATTTCTGCGATGTGGAATTGGATTGGGTAGTTTAGATTGGATGACTGGATATTGAGATTGCACTAGTAATTTAAATAATTTTTAAAAAATGAATACTGACAGAGGAAGCATTTGTAAATGTGGCATTATAGGCAGATTATGGATTTTAATGATTTCCTGATGTGTTTTTCTTTGTGTCGCCCTTTACAGAGAACATGGGGCAATGCAAATCTCTGGAGTACCAGCAGCTACCTGCACACAAGTTTTTAGAAGAAGGGGAATCTTATTTAATACTGGCTGTGGAAGTAGCATTGATAGGGCTGGGACAGCAACGGATAATGCCAGATGGCTTGTATGCACAAGAGAAGGTTTGTCGAAATGAGGAGCAGCTCATTTCTAAGCTACAGGAAATTGAATTGGATGATACTCTGGTGAAGATTTTTCGAAAACAAGCAGTCTTCCTATTAGAAGGTAGCTCAATGTAGATGCTAACTGCTTTTTAAAACTGTCTTCACTTAAGCCCACTGAATTAGTATTCCAGTGGAAACTGCCTTACACATTTAAGATGGTTTTTGATGTAGAACTCCAGCAAAATTTTATTTCCAATCTCTTATGAAAATCAAACATACTTCAGATATGACATGACTGTAGAGATAAAGCATCTATTGACCTACAAGCCTTTATTTTTAAGTTTTATTGCATTTTGTTATTTAGATTTGTTTAGTATCCTAATTATACAACCCAGGCTCACAAATAATATAGACATCAATTATCGTCAACAGTTCTTGGGTAATAAATGTCATTTGAATACTGAAAAAGGACTGGCAGCTTTGTAAATGTATGAAGATTTTTACCTCTGTTCCCAAGTGAAGAGCTCAGAAAACTCAAATTTGCTGGGACAGAAAAATAACATTTTCTTTGTAACAATTAGGAAAATGAGTTGCCTCAGAAGTTTGTATCATACCTGAAAATTGAAATATATGGGCAAATATTGAGGCTTAAGGCCTGGTCTTGTGACTAAATTTTGATTAAGAGAAATAACTTGCATTGCAATAAAATCTGTACAAAAAAAGTGCATGTTTTTGCCTTATCTTTTAAAAGGCTTGACATATAGCACTTAAACCTCCCGTTCACAGAGTAGTCTCGTGCGTTCTAAGGTTGTCATTCTAGTTTTGGGGTTTTTTTAAATCAAGGAAAAAAGGCATGGTCCAAGTTTTGAGTGCTTACTCAAGGGATGGTGGGGAGTTTGATACTGCTCTGGGTAAGTTGTGAAGATTGTTACATAGCAGTCAGGTTTTGCTTTCTTTCTATAAGACATTTGTTTTTTAAAACTATTTCTTTATGGAGGAGATGCAGTATGTTGTTTAGGGTTCTCAGCTTTGAGTCACTATTATTGCCCAGATCCTTAAAGACTTTGGTACCTACTGGTGATGCCATTTGAAACTGTAGAGGAGCTGCACCATAATGAGAGTTTCCATTATGGTATGACTGTAACTGCTGCTTTATGGCCTTTGGACAAGAACATCTTCTTGCTGGATCCAACTATTCACCACCATAGAGGTATCCTATGGATTATAAAATCAATTTGATAGATCTATTTACTGGTAAGGATGCTGTATGAGGAAAAGGCAGGATTTCTCTCAAGTATTCTCTGATACTATGATCACTGATATTCTCTTTGTTTTCTTAGAGTAGTAAACAAGTGATCATAGGAGAAAAACTGCTAAAATGGCTATTGACAAAATTGCTGTGGTGAGCAGTGTGCAACAATGGTCTTGCATTACTGCATGCTGAGAAATTTGGCTTTTCTGCAATAGCTTCAGTTTACTCCAGGCAAGGCAGAAACTGACAGATCACATGGAGGAAAAACTGTGCAGTGATTTAAGATTCTAATCATATCAATTGTGGTTTGATAGTTGAAGTTCTGTAGATATAATAAAGAAAGCTTAATCCAGTATTAAGCTGATTTCTATGCTGTTAATGCAGATTAATGCATGCTCTATGTAGCTACCATTTGAATGAGTGGGAAAGGAGAACATAAGACTGCGTTGCAAGAACTGTTCTATTTTTTTGCTTGAGTCAATGGCAGACTATATTTTCATATAAATACTTTGTCATGTATTCTTTGCGTCCTAGTTCTGAATGGACCACCAACTGGCAAACATTCATGAAATGGCTTCTTTCACTGAAGCAATGCCAGCTAGTTTTTGAACTTTTCAACTTTAAATGATTGAGACACACTGTCACCTACTTAATCTTCATTGATGTTTCCATTGTGATTAACCCCAACCTTCAGAAATGCCCACCTATGGAGCTCAGATTTTTTTTTTTTTTTACATGCCTAGTGATTTTATCTGCATTTTGTGCTAAGGCACCAGTTAAAAACATTGCTGAAACAGCTGTGCTGGTCCAAGTTGTTACCATCTCTCTCTCATGGAGTTCATCATCCCATGCAGCAGAAGTGGTTGAATAAATTTTGTGAGTACTCCTTATCTGCTTCAGTGAAGTGTCAGTCATCTTAGTTTGAACCACTGCTGGAAGCTATGACACATGTGACTGCAATGAAGAAGTGTGCTCATTCATCCATCCAAGTGTGGTGGGTTGGAATCTCTAGTAGAAGAGGAAGTAGTAACTTCTAGGACTGCTGGATGCTATTTGTGCAATAATTGTCCAATAATACTTAATGTAAGATTCTTATTCTGTATCTTGCAATGTTTAACACCTGTACCTCTAACCACTGAAGTAAAAAACTGCTTGACATAATTTTCCTATTAATAGGAATAACAGTGTAAAGGTTGCAGGAAAAATGTAAAAATGGAATTCTCATGTACTGTGAATATTCAGAACTCAGGAAGCAAATAGTTTCATGTAATTTTTTTTACATTGTCATTTCTGTTGTCAGTCTTAACATTGCTGTTATGAAGTACTGCACTGAGTGTGAGCAAAATCTATTGCCCCAACAACGGGAATAGCTTCTCCACAACAAATACAATTTTAAAGATTGTGTGGCTATAATAGACTAACAAAACCAACTTCAGTGCAAGATCTGACCTAGTCTTCTCTGGAGACCAAGTCCAAACCAAAGGGTTATTTAAATGCCTAATGTCAGGTGAGACATAATTAGGGATCAGGTGCTACTGTAGTGATTAGTCATGTAACTTCAATTAAAGATACCTGGTTTTCCACTGTAGACACTTTTTTTTGTGGATTTGTGATAAAGCAATTATGCACCAACAGAGGGTGCATAGGAATTCACGTGCACAATATAACAACACAGAGGCAAAGCTAGGATTATCACTTTCTACTTTTGCATACCATAGATTTTCTGAATGAGCCCCATGGAACCCTGGGACCATTCTGTCATTTGTATGTGCACTGGTAGTGTGCTTAGTACTCTAAAATTTACAGTGTATCTTGTTGTCTCAAAGAATAAATGGTATTTAATATACTTGTAATATATTTAAAAAAAATATCAATGTAACTTTACCTTTTGCACAGCAAGCTGTCTCTGAATACCAATTCTAACTCAAGGTATAGTTGTTGCAGTTGAGGTGGGAACAACACGGCTTCAGGAAACCAGGAACTCCTTATTACAGCCACTGCAGCTACTTTTATAGAGTTTTCGGTGACACGTACACGCACAATTGGTTTTCAGTAACATAAATAACTCACAATTGGACATACATCTGCGCATGTCTAAAAACAATGAGTCAGCATTCCTGACAGGAAATCCATTCTGTGTCACAGTCCTTTTTGTCTGTGGCTGACACTCTGCCAGGTGTAGATGTTCCATCTTTGATTTCTCAGTTACACAGAGACCCCAGAACCAACTGGGCTCTCCCATATATAGTGAATGCTTTTAAAGGTCCAGAAGTTGGGTTTTAACTGTGAAGACTGATATTCTCTTTCTTTTTCCCACAGCTGGACCATATAGTGGTTTAGGTGAAATCATCCATCGAGAGAGTGTTCCAATGCACACATTTGCCAAGTACCTTTTCACCTCTCTCCTACCTCATGATACTGAATTGGCATACAAAACTGCACTGAGAGCCATGAGGTATGTATTGACAAGTCATCTAGAAAGAACACAAGCAGCAGTTTGAAAAAGGGGGAAAAGCTTGGTAATCAAGAAGCATTCTTTTCTTTAAGGAGAAATTACTTTGGTTGTGTCATCTGTAAAAGCAATCCATGTCTGTACTAACTACAACATAATAATTTATAAATATACAATTAGTGTTTATATACAACTATAAACCAGCATTGTATGTTACAAATCCTTCTATTGGAATGTGTGATTTTGTGTTAAACAACAGCTTTAGCATGTGTGTGTGTTCTCTTACTGGTGTGGTTGTGTGTGTGTATGATGCTAGTGGTGAGGAAATGAGGAAAGAGGCATCTCAGCAGCAGTCTTGGGATCATCTGCTGCTTAGTTGCTTCCCCCCACTTTATGTACTGACCATGATTTCATATGGTCTGCAATATCCCTTTGGTTAGTTAGGGTCCCCTGTCCTGACTGCCCACTCCCAACCTCCATGCACCCTGTGGTGGGTTGACCTTGGCTGAATGCCAGGTGCCCCCCAACAGCTCTATCACTCCCCTTCCCAGCTGGACAGGGGAGATAGTAAGGTGGAAAAAACAACTCGTGGGTTGGGATAAGGCAGGTTATTTAATAATAATGGCCAGTCTTCGCGAGCGAAGATCCGGGGAAGGTCTCTACACCTTCCAGCCTGCGCATTGGATTTTTTAGGTGAGACACAGTGTGCGCGGAACTGAGCCTACCCTTTAATCCTAAGGTTCATCTGCCGGGGCCAAGCGAGCTTGGACGGTGGCAGCGAGGTCCTCAGGACGTAGATGGTTTGCCTACAGGGCTAACGAGCTCCATCTACCCAGGGAGTGTCCCTGACTGGGAATCGAACCCGGGCCTCGGCGGTGACAGCGCCGCGCCCTTAACCACTAGAACACCAGGGGCTCCTAGCAGGTTATTTAAAGCAAAAAGTAAAGCAGAAGCTTACGTGTGCAAAAAGCGAAGTGAAAGATAGCATGGTTTATCCTCTACTTCCCATGAGCAGCGATGGTCAGCCACTCCCGAGAAGCAGGGCTTCAGCACGCATGACGGTTTCTCAGCAAGCAGCCATTGGAGACAATGCCTGCCTTCCTTCCTGATCCTTGCCTTAGCTTTTATATCTGAGCCGATGTCATATGGTATGGAATATCCCTTTGGTCAGTTTGGGTCAACTGGCCTACTTGTGTCCCCTCCCAGGATGTTGCCCTCAACTGAGAAAGGAATGTTACAGTGCTGATGCTGTGCTCAGCAGTAACCAAAACACCAGTGTGTTATCAACACCCTTCCAGCTCCCAATGCAAAGCACAGCACTGTGAGGGCTACTATGGGGAAATGAACTCCAACTCAGCCAGACCCAATACAACCTCCACCCCTTATTCCATACCATTTACGTCATACTCAGTTCCCATATCTGACTATGTCCCGCGCTTGCACAGATCTTGTTTAATGGCCTTCTTCCACCCCTTCAGGTCTTGGGCTCCATTCCATTGGATGGGTACCCAGGGCAGGAGGACCAATTGATTGTTGGGCACCAACCCCAGCCCAGCTCAGATCATTGTCACACTGTCCTTGCTCCTCACAGAATTCGTTCTTCATTATCCTGTGTCTACTTCCTGCAATATACAACTCAGAACACACATCATCTTTCCCCCACGGTTAAATCTCCTTGAGGCACACACTGGCTCTCCCCATCTTCCCTCATTACCTACCAGGTACACCCTGGTCCCTGAGCAAAGACAATCCCATGGATGGGTTTACCTTTTCTCATGGGAGGAGAAACCCACACTGACTTCCCCAACCACTTCCTCATGTGTAGTACTGTGACTTTATCCCCTCCCACAGTGTGTAGGGGTTTTGTTTGGGCAGGACCAGGGTGGTTGGCAGATCTCCTAGTGTTGACCAGCCAAGTGGCTTCAGCTAAATTTGCCTTCCAATACTTCCACGTCCCATTACCTAATGCTCTTAACATAGTGTTCAACAGTCCATTATACCTCTCAAATTTCCCAGAGGCTTGTGGGTGATAAGGGATATGATAGATTCACTCGATGCCATGTTTCTTTGCCCAAGAACTTATGAGATTATTCCAAAAGTGAGTCCCACTGTCTGATTCAATTCTCTCTGGGGTCCCATGTCGCCACAGAATGTACCTCTTGAGGCCTAAGATGGTGTTTCGAGCAGTGGCCTGGTTTACAGGATATGTTTCCAGCCAACCAGTCATTGCCTCCACCATGGTGAGTATGTAGCTCTTGCCCTGGCATGTTCATGGCAGTGGTCCAATGTAGTCAATTTGCCAGGCCTCACCATAATGGAAACTCAGCCACCGCCCTCTATTCCAGGGAGATTTTACTCGCATGGCTCACTTAATTGCCACACACATTTCACATTCATGAATAACCTGTGTGATGGCCTCCATGGTCAGGTCCACCCCTCGATCACGAGCCCATCTGTATGTTGCATCTCTTCCTACATGTCCTGATATTTCATAGGCCCATCAGGCTATAAATAGCTCACCCTTCTGCTCCCAGTCTAAGTCTGCCTGGGCTATTCCAATCTTAACAGCCTTATCCACCTGCCTATTTTTCTGATGTTCTTCAGTGGCATGACTTTTGGGCATGTGAGCATCGACGTGAGGAACTTTCAGAGTCATGTTTTCCACCCATGCAGGGATGTCCTGCCACAATGCAGCAGTCCAGATGTGTTTACCCCTGCGTTGCCAATTGACCTTCCATTGCTGTAGCCACTCCCATAGGGTGTTAGCCACCATCCAGGATTCAGTATAGAGGTATAGCACAGGCCACTTTTCTCGTTCGGCAATCTTTAGGGCTGTTTGAATGGCTTTCACTTCTGCAAACTGGCCTGACTCACCCTCTCCTTCAGCAGCTTCGTATGGGACTCCACACAGCAGCTTTCCACCTCTGATGGTTTCCTACCACATGGCAAGATCCATCAGTAAATAGAGTGTAGCCTCTTTCGTTTTCTGGTAACTTGTTATATGGTGGTGCTTCTTGGGCACAAGTCACCTCTTCAGGCAATGCTCCAAAATCCCTGCCTTCTGGCCAGTCCATAATGTCTTCCAGGGTTTCTGGGAAATTGGGTTTTCCCATTCAAGCTTGTTGTGTGATCAAAGCTACCCACTTGTGTCATGTAGCACTGGTTGCATGATGTGTTGAGGGGATGTTCCCTCTGAACATCAAGTGCAGCACGGGCAATCACGGTGCCTAGATGAGACAGGCTTCTGTTCCAACAACTTCTGAGGTGGCTCGAACCCCCTCATAGGCTGCTAATATCTCCTTTTCAGTTGGCATGTAGTGGACTTGTGATCCTCCATAACCCTGGCTCCAAAACCCTAATGGTCAACCTCAGGTTTCTCTGGTGTTTTCTGCCAGAGGCTCCAGGTGAGACCATGCTCCCCAATTGCCATGTAGAGAATATTTCACACAGCCGGCCCTGTTCAAACAGGCCCCAGAGTTACCACACAGTCTATCTCCTGCTTGATCTGCTCAAAGGCCTGTTGTTGCTCAACGCCCCACTCGAAATGGTTCTTCTTCCAGGTCACTCAATAGAGGGGGCTCACAAGCTGGCTGTAACCTGGAATGTGCATCCTCCAGAAACCCACAAGGCTTGTGTTTCCTTCTTGTTAGCCAGTGGAGACATAGATGCTATTTTGTTTACTACATCCATGGGCACATGATGGTGTCCATCCTGCAATTTTATTCACAAGAACTGAATCCTCTGTGAATGTCCCTTTACCTTACTTTGTTTTATGGTAAAATCAGCTTTGAGAAGAACTAGGACTATTTCCCTTCCTTTCTCAAAAATTTCTTCTGCTGCCTTGCCCCATGCAATGATATCATCAATATATTGCAGGTGCTCTGGAGCTCCCCCCTGTTACAGTGCAGTCTGGATCAGTCCATGGCAGATGGTTGGGCTGTGCTTCCACCCCTGGGGCAGTCGATTCCAGGTATACTTGACACCCCTCCAAGTGAAGGCAAAATGTGGCCTGCACTCTCTTGCCAGAGGAATGGAGAAAAATGCATTGGCAATATCAATTGTGGCACCACTGGACTGCCTTTGACTCCAATTTTTATTGAAGTTCCACCATGTCTGGCACAGCAGCACTCAGAGGTGTCATGACTTCATTCAGGCCATGATAGTCCACTGTCAGCCTCCACTCCCCATTAGTCTTTTGAACTGGCCATAAGGGGCTGTTAAAGGGTGAGCAGGTCCTGTTGATCACTCCTTGTTTCTCCAGTTGACAAATTAGTTCATGGATGGGAATTATGGAGTCTCAGTTGGTGAGATACTGCTGTCGGTGCACTGTTCTGGTGGCAATGGGCACTTGTTGGTCTTCGACTTGCAGCAATCACACGATGGAAGGATCTTCTGGGAGGCCAGGCAGGGCAGATAATTGTTTGATCTTCTCTGTAGCCACAGTAGCTACACCAGAGCCTATCGATACCCCTTGGGATCTTTGAAATATCCCCTCCTGAGGTAATCAATGCCAAGGATACAAGGGGCCTCTGGGCCAGTCACAATGGGGTACTTTTCCCACTTGTCCCCTCTTAAACTGGCTTCAGCCTCTAATACAGACAACTCCTGGCATCCCCGTCACTCCAGAGGTCCAGATGGGTTCTGAACTTCTGTGCCTCGATGGCATTAGTGTGCACTGTGCACCCGTATCTACCAAAGCTCTATACCTCTGTGGATCCGATGTCCCAGGCCATCGAATCCACGCAGTCCAGTAGACCCAATCATCCCTTTCCTCCTCCTGGCCAAAGGCAGGAACCCTCTATTCCTGTTCCTGGTCAGAGTATTCACTGTCTGACCTTTGCGATGCCAGACCAGAGGTCCCCTCACCAGGATCAAAGGAATTGGTCTCTGTCCTTTTACATCTGAGAGGTCGCTGATTTCTTTCTTGGGTCTCTGTGGCAACTACATGGACAGCTTTCCTGGGTGACCCCTTCTTAACAGTTCTCTTCCCTCTTAATTCACGT